ATGTTCAAGTGTATAGCCTATACATCCTTAACTGACCTATCCCGAACATCATATTAAAACCCTGTTCTTCAAAATCCTACCGCTTTATACATAAATACTGCCAGGAGAGTTATTTGATAGGATCATTTAACAGGATATTACTAACATATTCAATGGTTTGAAATAAATCGAAGGAGAGTTTTACTAAAATTTTGGAGCGCTACCAAGAACGGAAGGTTTTCACAAATCTTGTCTTAACGAGAAAGAACATCCGCGGAAACCGACTGCGTATTGCGTAAAAACGGGGCAGTGCTCGTGCTCGGGAGCGGTGATTATTGTCAAAGACAAACGGCCGGCCGATCTCGAAGGAATTCTCGCTTCAAAGAACAAACCCTCTTCTTGAGAAATTCTCTCGAGCGCTTCGCTTTTGATCAACGACCGTCAAGTGGCCGCGCGCGAAACGAACGCTCCCAAGTTTCCATTCCTGCTTTCCCCGTCTCTCTTCCGCCAAAGAATCTCTTTCGTACGCGCTAAACCACGTTCCTGCACTTATTATACAGCGCTTCCTCAAAAACTGTCAAGGCAGTTTCTGTGGCTCAGTTTGTGTGAGAACTGATAAATAATATTCACCCGAGTCTCTTCTATCCTTTGTCGAAGAATTTTAATATGAAAATCCTTATTTTCGTTCAATGCAATCGATGCTACAAGAAAATCGATAAGAAAAAAACTACGGCGTTAATGAAAAACTGAGAATTAGGCGAGAAAAGACGGGAATTAAAAGTTGTCTCAGCGAGCAGAAGCTGACCATTCGATAAGTGCGGGGAGGATCGATGAGAGGAGAGAAAGAAGGCGGATTCTGCAAGTGAAAGGTCGAGAGAAACGCGTCTAGCGGGACAGTCCTCGAGGGCAGGTGAAAAGCAAAAGGGTGGGTGGGAGTGCGCAGTGCGGAAAGAATTCTGCATCCTACGACCGTGAAGGTCATCGCCGGGACGAGCACGCTTGACCCGTTTGTCGCTCATCGAAGGACAACCACCCTCGCGGCGGATTCTGTTCACCTTCATCCCTCGACTAAATTTAACTGTCTCATTGTCAGCCTTCGAATAAACCTCAAATATTTCACAAGAAAAACAGGCCAAAATACTTTTTATTAGAACTGAAACTCCAATACATTTAAATGAAAATAAAATATAAATTAGATTGATTGAGACTGGGATAACTGTTTTTTATTTCCTAATTTTAATTCAAAGAGTAGTTCAACGAAGGTGCAAATAAATTCAGAGTGAGATCGAGCCATGATAATCGATGTCGCTCGAGGGACAAACGGGGCAACAAAGGCGTACGTTTTCATTAAAAACTCCCATCGCAATTTACAGATAGGAACACTTTCCAACAATACTACGGATGTCGTTGAACGCGTTCGCCTGAATGGGAGGCTATATACTATGTGGACCACTACTACTAGTATACTAGCAGGGGCTGTTTACATGGGTACACTGACCCAGGAGCAGGAGTATACCTCCCCCTTTGTGCTCTCTTCGCTCTTCATTCACTGACTCGCGACGATTAAACGAGTGAAATTTTCGATAAATACTAATAAAGTCAACAATTCAAGGCTGAGATACGCGTATATTCGTTGAAAGATATGTAATAGAAATGGTAATACATTATGTACGTTCGACTCAATTAAAGAATTAATTCAGTTAAAAAAATATTGAGAAAATATTGAAGAAAAATGTCAAGTGGTATCCAAGGTGCGATGTATTCGCCTAAGAAAATTTTGAAACGCTTTCTTCAGCCTTTTAAAGAAATTTTGAAGTGTGAATTTTCGCCGAACGCCAGCGAAACGCGAGAAGTCACGAATGACCTGCTGACACTCAGCTCGACGGGAACAAGATTATCGATTGCTCGGTCAGGGAGAAAGCGAGAGAGAGCGAGGGAGGGAGAGAGAGAGAGAGCCTGGGCGACGATTACTTGCGACGCGGAACAACGGACACTCCGGGATGAAAGCCAAAAGAGGAGAAGAGTAAAAAAGACGCCGCGCGCGAAAGAAGCAGGCAATCTGAAAATGTACCGCGACGTATTCTGACGTTGATTGAAAGTAGTTTGTCAGCGGCCGGCGGGCCTCCATCAGACAGATTGCACGAATTTCGCTGCGGACTTTTTAATACCGTGAAATCTTGACTACGTGTCCTACCTGTTACCCAAAAAACCGCGGGGTACTGGTTACAACGTGAAAAAGAAGTTGCAGATTGATCAAGCAAAATCGTGTCCAACAGTAAACAAGAAAAAAAGATAACTTAGTCACTGAAGCTGAATCATACATTAAATTTTGTGCTTTTACGTGCTATCGAATATGAAAGACAAATATACTAGTGAACCGTATAATTCAAAATACGATCTTAAATAATTATTTAGCAAATGAATTGTGAACTTATACTTTAAAACATAAACGTCACCTGCTAGTATAGTATATATTTTGTTAAGAAAACTTGGAGAGGATACACAACAAATTGGAATGGAAAAGAGTTTTGTAAACGATTTTTGTTTGGACGTAGAGATTGCTTCCAGAAGGATGTTATTCCAGAGGTTACGACTCTGCTGGAAAAACAATGAGCGAATGGGGAACTAAAAGATTTTCTATATCATAACAAAACTGCAGATGAAATTGAAACAGTACATGAAATTGTCCTTTCTGAAAAATTAGAACAAACTGTATTTCTTCCAATGCTAAATTCGCTCGAGTTTAAGAGTATCTCCCATTGAAGAATGGCAACTGTTCGATTTGGTAGAATTACGAAAGCGTAAGATCGAGTGGGCGTTTGAATTCGATCAAAGAGCGTTGCTCGAACGAGTCTACAAAAGGAGCTGTCGAACCTGCCCCGATTCGTTTGACTCGACTTCGCGTCTCAACTTTGCGTATCGAACAAATTTCCTGCAAAAGCTCAGCACGTATCCTTCGATTTAAACAAATTCAAAGGAACAACAACAAGAATACTGTACAAACTGAAATAACTTTAATGAAAAATTCATTGCAACAATACTATCACCATTTTTATTCTTAATGAAAGTTCAAAATATTTAATGTCACTATAGAAAACAATTTTTGCGTCGAAGCTGCTCGGTGAGACGAATCGAAGATCCGTGAACGGCAACTCAACCAAAAAATCAGCTGAACAGCGTTCGATACGCACGCGTCTCGAAATGCCAAGGATGAACCGAAAGCTCGAAAATTGGTTCGGAAAAGTATCTTCGATAGGGAGAAATAGCGGCACAAAGAGGGTGAGCCTAAGAACCGAACGTCCTTGACCAGTCCTTCAACTCGCAGTCCTCCATTCACCCCACTTCGTACCCCCTCGGCCAATCCCAAAACGTATATACGCGTACACATACATATTCAACAATGAACCCACTTCTTCGCGTAACCCAGTTCCCTAATTGAATACGTCATTTTGCAAAATTCATGGCGACTTCCATATAGTTCACTTTTTCACAAAAGAGCCCCTCCATAACGTGATACACGATTCACGTTCTCTTCGTTAAAGCTGATAAATTGTAACGTGAATAGAAAAATGAATCGCGTATGGGACCAAGTCAATGGTGAATCAGCTATGATACTACGTAAATATCGACAAAAATCTTTATATGTATGAAAACCTGATCAATTCAACGAAAGCTCATCGATCATTCAACTGTATTCGTTATGACCACCGATATTAATATTGGTAGCGATCTATCCACTACGTACATATATACACACAATTTGTATATTGAATTTTATCCGCACCCCAGCTAACTATTTTCTTATCTCGAAGTCAGCGCATAAAAGTCTAGACCATAAAATATACAAGCCAATCTGCAAATCCTACCAACCCTTCTCCCATGGACGCTTTTATCCGAACTCGGTCACGTTCAGCTTGATGGCTCAGAATCTCACATAAAAACCGTCCACCGAGCAATCGATGTGATCGATAACGTGTCACGCGTGTCTCACGCAATAATCGTGAGATAACGTCGAGAGAAATAAATCGGCGTCGCGTGAGTTCGGCGCGCAACTAACCCCGGCGGGTTTGCAAAACAGGTTCGCTGGCTGGTTGCGAGGGTTGTGACCCAGTTCGAGTCAGGGCCGGAGAGTGCGCGCTACGGCCGCCAGCGCGTCGCGATACCTACTGAGCGGATAACCGCTCTCCGGCACCAGCTGCGCACGTTTCCACCACCCATCAACCCTCCCACTCTCGGCCAGCTAGGGGTTGCTCCCATCCGAGCCTCTGTTTCCAACGTTTACCATGGGAAAGCGAAATTTCTTTCAAAATCGATTCCACAGCTGCGTTTCTTAAAAGTCAGCTCTTTCGAAAGATCTCTCTCTTATATGAAATAAAATATATTTTCTACTTATTGTCATTCATTCCTGCTTATCTTCAAAACAATAATCTCTTCCTAATATTTACCGAGAAAAACAGAGGTGTTTACCTAACTTGGATTTTGAAAACAATTTCCTATCTAATATGTACTATTAAATTCCCTGTCTCGTTACTTGCAACTTGCAAGGCAACAATATATAGTTCTTCCTCAATAAACTTTTATATTCAATGTTAACTAGAAATAAAGATTTGCGTTCGAAGAAAGGATTTGATTTGGATGACTTTGGATGAGATTCTCAGTGAATAGGTTCGCCGGGGTATATAGATAGGAAAGAGACGCGTGGAGGGGTGATATCAACCCCTACTTCGCCTCGAACATGCTCTCCCCTCCATATTGATTAGTGCGCGCGGTCCACACGGGACACCACAGCATCCAGCTATGCTGTACATGCTGTCAACATCCCTACCGAAATTCGACAATGGTCATCCCCTACCAGAAGGGTGTTAAGACCGGGGAGGGTGAGGCTGCTTTCTGTGTGAAAGTTCGGAAAGTTGCGAAGAGTATCGAATATGGAATGAGTCTATTCAGGGCAAAATGTGTAATTCTAATGAAATCGTTGTCTGATGTATAGTAGATTGCAGATTCTTATGCAAAATGAAACATTTGTCAAAAATGGAATTCAGGCAAGTATTTGTACTTCCTGATATATTATACATTCTGCAAATACATCTTTCTTGACAATTGACAATTTATACAGGAAGGAATTTCTTCATTCAGAAACATTAAGAAATAGATACCGTATTTTTATCCACTTGTATTTTTTTTACACATGTATGGATATAATA